AAGTGAAGTAGTTTCAAGTCAGACCTGGTTCTCCTGGATGGCATAAGGAGACAGTACAGTGCGATGTAACTGTACAGCAGTCAACTCTTTTATGGTCAAATTCACGGTCATGAGACCTGGAGAGAGTTGAAATCTCCGACTGCAGAGCGCTAAAGGGGGTACTCACGACGTCCATACGACATCCTCCCGAAAATATCACGATAAATTGTCAATGTCTCACCTGTCTTTCGACAACACAAGTCTCTGAATTAAGAGAATCGTCACGAGTTTTTTGTCCAATATTTGCAACCATTTATAAAAAATTATGTCATGGACAATAATTTTTAAGACCCTACCGAAGACTTTCCGAATCTAGAGGACCCCCCGACAATATCACATGTCATACAGTCTTGTTTTGATTGGCTGAATGTTAAGACTTAAGTCATTCAGTCAAGTAAGCTTATTAATGTATAATTGAACGACCAGATCGTACTGGTTGATCGCTTGACGAATGGTGGAGAGAATCTCTAACTAACAAGATTTTCATATAACAACGGTGAAATAATTCGGAGAAGAAAACCTCATTGCAACAGAACAAAAATAGCAAACGGATAAAAGAAGGAGAAACTTAAAAAAATTGAACAGTTTTGATTTACGAAAGTGAAATAAATAAATATGATCCAGGTAAATGAAAAAAGCTAAACAATATAAGAAATATTAAGTTTCTTTCTCCCATTCCATTCATGACCTATTGTATCCAAACACACTATGTGGAAAGGTCCAATAAGCAAGCAAGCCACCCAGCGTTGGGTCTACATACATTTGACAACTAATCTTAGCGTCATGGCTTACGTCATCATGATTGATGGCTGTCCATCAATGGAGAGACAAAGCATGTCTTGACTGACTACACCCATGCTGTCCAACCTTCATACATTTGACTGAGATTGTCCAGACTGGTAGCCTCACGGATCACGTGATCCACCTGTCAATCAACAAGACATCACGTGATGATTAAAGAGGTTACCAGGCTCGTGGCTAGTCGTTAGTCTCTTCTTTTTTACGCTAAATGGGTTTGACGGGAAGGAATGACAGAGTACCCCTCGCGTTTCCCTTGATGCATCGCGCGACGGCTAAAACAGGGGCATACTGGGTAAAAGTTTGAGAACTTACTACGTTTTCGCTACAACTTTTTTTTGTTTTGTTATCTGTCCTAACTTAAGTTAAAAACGTTGCGGAAACGCTACGATAACGCATTAGCATAGAAGAAGTTGCGAAAGGTTTTGAGTTGCATGTCCTCTTATTGACACATATTTGGCGTAGCGAATACATTTTTAGTCCAAAAAATAAGAAAATTCATTCTTTTCTTTCAACTGAGCGCGCACAAGATGAGATGGGGTCAGCACAGTGTGCATGTCGTCTTATTGACACAATGTAATCATCCAATCAACGCCGGGGAATTTACATACCTGGTCTGTTACGGACATTCTCTTAGTTTGATCGATATCTCTACCATCAAGCTTCGCCTTGACTTTTCTCCATACACTAATAGCATACGTGTTACGCTGTTGAATCGCTGATAACAAAAACACGTTCATTAACAGTTTTCTTGGATTTCCCGAATCTTTAAAAAGTAGATCGGGGCCGTGTGCAAAGGGGTGATTTCAAGTTTTGACTTTGCGATTTCAACACTGTGAAAAAGACGATTGACTGCAAAATTGCACAAGCATTGTTTTGATTCGTCAAATAATCTCATATTTTAAAGACGTCTTCCAAGGAAATGGGGTTCCGGAGTGTCCCTGTAGAGTGAAGTAAAAGAGCCCTCACCAAGATTAACCTAAACGCACGGAGTTCAGGGTGATGTGGCCTAAGTTTGGTATGGTTATAGTAGTTCAGTGTGATGTGGCCTATGTATGGTATGGTATATTATGTTTATGTTCTGTTTATGTTGTGTTCTGTTTATGTTGTGTTGTGGCGTGATGTGGTGTGGTGTGGTGTGGTGTGGTGTGGTGTGGTGTGGTGTGGTGTGGTGTGGTGTGGTGTGGTGTGGCGTGATGTGGTGTGGTGCGAGGTGGTGTGGTGTGGTATAGTATGGTTATAGTAGTTACCTTTTCCAGTTTTTGGGTCCCTTGCAAGACTGGACGACGAAGACCTCTTAGGACTTGCAACTATTGACAAACAAAACAAAGTAAATAACGGGATACAGGGAGTATAGATGCTTACGACGTAAGCCGGAAGTGAATTGAAAACAATAGAAACAAAGGAATGAAAACGAGGCATAAGGGCCCTGAAGGAGTTTAGAAGGCAAATATCTAGAGATTCCATTCACCTAGATTCAAGAAAAATTCCTTGTCTGTAGGAAAAGTACATTTTCTTGCTTCTTGTTAAATTCAAAAAGAATATTTTTCAATTCCTAAGTTACTGCCGGTTTATGTCGTAAACGTGTATCCTAGTGCAAAGTTTTCTGGCCTGTAAATTATTCATTAGTGCACTTGGTATCCCATAATTTCTCACAATAAGACGGCAAGTTGGTCCAAGGCGCTTACTGGGGTGTTTCGCAAGGTACATCATTAAAAACCAAGTGCAAGAAGTGTGGTTAGCTAGATATTTCATGTACAGGTGCTCGAATATCGATTAGGATAATTTTGTTACATTTACTATAATTAGGATTCCTGTGTACACAGGGAACCCGCTCTTACCCGCTGTTGCTGTTCTGGTACTAGGAGAGGCCCCTGCCGGACTGTGTATTCCATGATCTTTCTGTATATGGACAGGATTGTGTGGAGTACTTGTTGCGCTGGTATCCTTGCCGCCTCCACTGCCTTTCTGTAAAGCTGAAGATAATAGGATACTACCTGAGAATGTCTCACATCACATGGTGGACGAGTATGGGATTACAAACTACGAAACGGCATCCAACAGACCTCTGAAGCTTTTACGTCATGTACCGTATCCGCAATGCATTGCAGGATATGTTTGGGACAAAACATGGCGGATTTCGTTTGCATTCTCTAGAAAATGATCCCACAATTCATTGCAAAACAAGTAGTGACGTAAAAGGTTCAGAATTCTATTCATGTACACTCCATCGTCAGTTCTCTGAGCTTCTTTCCTCATTTTACATTTTACATTTGACACTTCCTTCATACATCCCTCAGACCTTATTACCAATACGACCGCCATCTTGAATTCTATTGTTTCCAGGATCAATTAGATAAGAAATTATAGGACGTCTAGGGGACTTCCAAGGAATTTATAGACAGTAACGCCGATGAGTATACAAATAATTCACATTTTGAAGCACGATATTCTTAGAAAAACATTTTAAGTACATCCAATGTCTGCTTTTACCCCTGGACATCTAATAATTTCTTCCTAATTTAATATGATTGTCAGCTGCAATAGCAATAAGGTCTTTTGATTTCCCATTTATCTATTCATTCATCCACCCATTTCTCGACTTATTTTTGATCCATTCATCAAAATATCATCCTTATGTTGTTCGTACCAGAAGCAAAGGTAGGCGGTGGGGCAACAATGGGTGTCTTTCCTCCATTCGATCCCGTTTCTTCTGACATCAGTGGAGAAGAAAGTGACAAAAGATGATCATGGACCCTACAAAAACAACACAACCACAAATTAATATACACTCAACTCTCGCCTTACGGACACCCAGCTACAACGGACACCCCGCTACAACGGACACCCCGATATTGCGGACATTAAAATACTGAATCCCTGGCGAAAATTACAAAGAAATGACTGAAAGTAACTCTCGTTACTACGAACTCTCGCTACTGCGGCCACTAAATTACGGTCCCGAGGGTGTCCGTAATAGCGAGAGTTAACAGTAATAAGATGGACATTTACTGTAGATTTTTGCAAAATGATGCGAGTGGATGACGACAGTAGTATTCCCATAAAATGTTTTGTGTACATGTCGATGGTGAAAACGAGAAATCATTTCCCTAAACATGTTCGTGTATCATTGGTAAATTTTCAAAATAAATTCACGCAGTTTGACAAACACATAGGTAGTTTACAACGTGCTAAGTGACGTGACGTGTCACGTGCCAGATGACGCGTATGTCACGTGATGTATGTAAATTGTCTTATTTCTTACCACTGAACAAGAGATGTGACAGATTCAGTCAACGTTCTCACTTCTTGCATGTTGTCGTAGAAGGCTGCACTCTTGTCGCCATTTTTGTTGTTCTTGCTGGTATTCTCTACTTTGGTGTTGCACGCTGGATATCAAAATGAATCATCATTAAATGCCATCATCATCATAACAATTGTCATCGTGGTTAATAGGAAGATGTATTTACCGTTCAAAGTACTTTTGATAAGCTGAGCGCAATCATCAGACAAGCGATTATAAGATGTGATGAACAACTTGGCCGCAGAGCTGGACTCTTGGGCATCCTCGTCCTAGATTAGTCCATTAATCCGTCAATCAACCATCAATCAATCAATTAATCGACAAATCAATCAATCAACAAATCAATCAACCAGCAAATCAATCAAACATAACTCAATCAATCAAAACTAGATCAAGTCACGTACCTTAGCCATGGTTGTCAGAAGAGATTTCACCTCTGATACAAGTTGCTGATGTGTAACAATCAATATCTTGAGTGCATTGGTATGGGCCTTCAACGATTCCTTTTGAACAAAACGCAGTACATTTCAATTTTCACATATTAATCAGTCACTCAATCAATCCCATAGTGCATCTCGCAGAACATGACGTCATTAGGGGAGGAGCCATATGTCTACTTCAACCAATGACTCACCCTTTTAGTCGAGACAGCTGAAGTGGCCTGTGCTTTCCTCGATTTGTGAGAGGATATTTCCTGCGATACTGCTTCTAGTCTTGTCTTCATCCATGCGAGGGTGATTGGGGTTTCAGGAGGACAAGCGATGTGAAGTAGAGATGTCATTTCACTAATAGATCGAAGCTTTTCCAGTGATTTCTCAAACTCAGAACAACTTTCATAACATCTACAAATATACATATCATAATGTTTGAGCTTGAACGTGCGCACGCTTCTATACAAAACAATGCTTTTTGTGTGCTTACAAAAAACATAAACAGCACATTCATGAGTGCCGGTTCTCAAATATTACACCCAGTCTAAACACTCTTATGAATACTTACTTTTTGACAAGTGAAGTGAGTGTGTTATCCAGGGACGTGACTTCAGTTGAGTGACTTCGCATCAGCTCAAAGTGGATCAACGCATTGGACAGAGAACCAATGTCAGATGAATGCTTGGCCTCCATCTGTATTGTGGAGAGATTTTTTAAAAAAATGCAACATTATTTATTACATGGTTTATCAATAAAAAGTACTGCTTGCATTTATACAACACAACACAACACAACACAACACAACACAACACAACACAACACAACACAACACAACACAACACAACACAACACAACACAACACAACACAACACAACTAATACAATCTGGACGGTAGTATTTCCTGCTATAGCCCACCTTAAGCATTTGTTTCCTGTCTTCCACTGTTTTATCAAATTCCTTCAGAACTGGGTTAAGTCCAGGATTAGCCCCTGCTGCCCACTTCAGTCTCTGTTCAATGCTGGATTGTTGACTGACGATTTTTTCTTCCACAGCTTTTACTGCTGGCTCAAGTTGAACTAATGCTTGCACTCGCTAAACAATATTACAAAATTAGACTTTAAACCAACAACGCCAACTGACTCACCCTCGTTCCCAGGGCTTCTCTGTCCGTTTTTCTTTTCAAAATGGCGGTCAGAAGACCTGGGAACGAGGTTGCAACTGACTAGTTCCCAGTAACCTCCCTTATCTGTTATAGTGCTGCAAGGCATCACGGGAACGTCCTTCCCATAATGCTTTTCAACTCTACAACAAAAATGGAAGGGAGGACTAGGGACGAGTGATAGAAATGATATTGATGACTGTGGCGATTATTATTATTATTATTAGTGGAGGAAAAGGTAACTGATGATGTATAGTTATTACTGTACATACGAAAATGCGAACGACATTCTTGAAGAGACTGTTGATATGGTAAGGGACTGGAAACGCTGACAGTGTATGTTCGTTGCTAGTGAAATGTGAAATCGAACCTATGTGATATGACAAATATACACTTACTTTCTTCATATCTCCCATGATGCTTGCTTTAGAGGGACTGATCATACTGTTACCTCGTAATGAACACCTTAGAAGATCATCTTCATACAGCCACTACAAAATAACAACAGCATCAGTACAGACCTTTACATCTCAGAAAAAAGACATTTTCTGAAGTACAAAATCGTGGCGCATTGTGGTCTAGCTTCAGCACAAACAACGCCATATTTGGCAGCATGAACAAAAGATGTTTTGTACCGAATCTAGACCACAATGCAATGCAAACTGCTATTTCAGAAAAGATCTATGAAAAATTCATTATGGAGTTGTTAATCAATCGCAATAAAGAAGAAGAAACCTGAAGAATGACAGAGGTACGTTTGACATTCACTTTGGATTTTTCTTGGATATTTGAAACTAGGATGATAGTCAATTGGAGACATAAGTAATATTGATCTACCTGAAACCTTGCTAGTTGTAGCTGCGCTCTCTGCACCACGCCCTTATAAAGACTGATATTGTGATCCAGACGCCTGCAATACAGACCATAACATTGTTAGTTTCTGTACTGTTAAAAACAGTGTTCAATCCCCGGCTATATGTGTCTATTTCCCGGCCCTTCCAGGGGACGGGGGCTTCAACAGTGACTGATGAGTAATCATTGTATAATTCAAGCTCAAGTACCTTGCAAAGTCATGTTTCCTCCAAGCCACGTCATAAGCGCTTGTCAGTGAACTCATTTGCGAGAAAACCTTGTTATGGAATATACCTTGTTTGATTTTCAAGTCGATGACCTGTGAAGTGGTAAACACAGTTTGCAATTGTGAACACAACTTTCGTGTAGTCCTCTTGGTCATGTAATAATTCAAGGCATTTCGAACTATAGTCAAGGGCTAAAACTCAAGCTTTCAAGGACCAAAGTAATCACAGCAATACCAAATCATTCTTGTTTACGAGACACTCATTTATTAGGCAAATTCTTACCTTCTTACAAGCCTTTTCAATATTTCCCCCCTCGTCATTGCCATCGTCTTCTTTACTCATCAATTTGATGTACCTCTGAACCACAACTCCCATCGCCTGGGATGGAAATCCTAAGATTCTCTTCTGCACACTTTCCGCAATGAACTGTCTGACCTGCTGAGCTAGTTCGTCTTCACTAAAACTCATGTCAGAATTCCAAGTGAAGCGTGATTGGCTCGATGACTGGTTATCTGGGTCTACATGTTTTGATGGGTGGTCCTGGGTGTTCTTAACAAGGTGTCTGCAGTCTTTGAAAAATTCAGCCATCACTACAAGTCTCTTGAGGAAGAAGAGTTTGCTGCATAGCTGACTGCTGATGTTACTTCCCTGCAAGAATATAACAAATGGATGAAAAAGACGAATGGGAAATTGAATGAATAAAAAATGAGAAAATGTATGGTAAAAATGAGTTGAGATTGAAATGGATACAGGAATCGTCGGATAAATGGAAATGAAAAAATGAAAAAACAAATGAATTAATGCAAATTTAGTCATAAATACGCACATTTATGGTTGGAATATAACGAATATTTGAATTAAAATTCAACTGGCTTAGTACCTGTAGCTTTTTGGCGTCCTGTACAACATCACTGACTGGACCGCCTGAGCTTGCATTGAGATGAGACATGGCAGCAACCATTGCATCAATCTCACATTCCACCTTGGTAAACAATCCATTAAATCCAGCAAGTAGCATTTGACCTGCTGACATTCGTTCACTGGAATCTATTGGAACAAATAAAATAAATCATTTAAAATACTTCAAAAACCACGAGACAACACTTTAACTACTGACTTTCTACGACGAAAATACTTTTATCTTAAAATTTTCATCATGTCAATATTTGTCAGAGGTAGGATAAGTTTTAGAGCAATTTGTTTTCCTTGGTTTTACTTCAAAGTCTTAGTCCCCTTGGCAGCCAACTCTTTTCTCAGTCGCCCTATTCCTGGGAGTGACAGAAAGCCTAAGTAAAGGGCCGGCTGTAAAGGAGACTAGAAAAATCTATATAGTGGATAACTTTGTCCATCCTTAATTCAAATGGCCCCAGGAATGTTTCCATAAATTAACAGACTTATTTTCTGTTGTTAATCGCGTTTTCTTACCATGTCCAGGTCGCGTCTGCTGAATAGCATCAAATGTTTGAGAAAGAATGGCTATCTTAGAATCCAGTGTGATGGCATCTCCACTCTGTAAATTCCCATTTTCTAGGAGTTCAGTCTCAATTGAAGTAATCAAAGCCGGTATGCTCTCTTCGCCATTGACGATGTCATCCATACAGTCTATCATGGACAACACACTCTGGTCCTTGGAAGTAAGGCTTTTGATTGCCTCAGGGACAATGATATTCCTAAAATTAGCCATCAATTCCTGAAGAGCTGTGAAGACTTTGTGTACTGAGAATACAGCTTGAATGCAATCGTCAGCTTCTTCTGTCACTGGTATCTTTTCATCGTTTATTATCTGAACATAAAAGTTCACATTAACCTTGATAGTTTTTGTCAAGGGCCAGTTCCTTGGGAGAGGAAAGGATGGGAGAGGATGGGAGAGGATAGCAGAGGATAGCAGAAGAATAGAGAGGATAGCAGAGGATAGCAGAGGACAGCAGAGGATGGGAGAGGAAAGGAGAGGATACATGTAGCAGAGGATAGCAGAGGATGAGAGGATAGCAGAGGACAGCAGAGGATAGGAGAGGAT